TTTTTATAAAAGGCCAGATAGTAAATATTTTTGTTTTGTGGAGACATAAATCTCTGTTGCAATGACTCAACTCTGCCGTGGTAGCGCAAAAGCACTCACAGACAATATGCCACCAGATGGGCATGGCCGGGCTCCAGTGGAACTTCATTTAGGGACGCTTACATATGAATTTCATACCATTTTCATGTCTCATGAGATATTCTTCCTCTTTTGATTTCTTTATGCCTTCCATCTTTATTCATCTAATTGACAAATACAAATTTTATATAAAGTATATGACCGGATGTCTTGATATATGTATTAAGCTATTAACATATCCATCCCCTCACAGTTACCATTCTCTTTCCTTTTTCTTCTTCTTTTTTTTTTCCTTTGATGGTGAGAACGCTTAGAATCTACCTTCTTAGTAAATTTCAAGTATGCAATAGAATATTGTGAAGTATCGTCACCACCCTGTACATTAGATCTCCAGAACTTTGTATCTCTAGACCAACATCTTCCCATTTCCCTTCCTTCTTCTTTTGTATTTTTCTCCAATCATTTAAAAATGTAAAAGCTATTCCTAGCATTCAGGTCATAGGTGGCCAGCCCTGATTTAGATGAAAAATTCTTGATGGATTCACAAGTTGCTATTTCTGGCTGTTAAACAATTTGGAATTGACAATTATTTTGATTTATCTAAAAATTTAAAGTATTAACTGATTTGAAGTGGTTATTATATTCATAAATAGCACTAATTAGTAAATTGTATTAAGTCCTTAAGATGTGTTTGATGCCTTCCCAAATCTTTTCCTGATTTGATAAGCATCTGAAGAATTTTTTATTTAAGTTAAATATTTTAATTTCTACTTAGATAACATTATTGATTAAATATAATAGTCACAAAGACCTTATGAAATATGAGTTTTTTTATTGAGTTTAGTAAGTTAAAAAGACCTGTGGTTTCTTTGAAATGTCCGTCTAATCTTGAAGTTTTCAGAAAACATATTTTAATTCATTTGATTATTTTTGAATGACTATCCACACGTTGGCTTTTCTCTGTGCACATGCAATCTGTTACAGCCAGGAATTTGGCAGTTGTATTTTTCACAGTAGATGCTAAGTTAAAAAGACCATTTAAATGGAAATAGATTGACTACACAATGAAGATATGCAATGAAAAATGGCTCGATGTATCCTGGGGACTTTTTCCAGAGAGGAAATAAGAGAATCGGATAACTTATATTTCAGAGGCTTCATAACAATGCACATTTCTTTGTTTTCACTGAGTTCTATATTGTATCAGTTTCCTATTGCTGCTATAACAACTTAGCACAAACTTGGGGGCTTAAAACACCACAAATTTCTTCCCTTATACTTCTAGTGGTCAGAAGCCCAAAACTAGTTCCCTGGCTCAAGCCAGGGTGTGGGCAGGGCTCGTTCCTTCCGGAGGCTCAGAAGGGAGAATCCTTTTCCTTGCTTTCTTCAGTTTCCAGAATTCCGGAATTCCTTGGCCTCTTTCCCCACTGTCAAAGAGCATCACTCCAATCTCTGCTCCCGTCCTCACAATGCTGTCTCTGCTGATTCTGACTCTTCTCACATCCCTCTCGTAAGGACCACTGCGATTACACTGGCCCACTCGGATAACCCAGGAGAACCCCATCTCAAGATTCTTAATTGCATCTGCAAAGTCCCTTTACCATATAAGGTAATATTCACAGGGTCCAGGGATCAGGATGTGGAGATGGTTCAGTATGCTATATATATCAAAAAATTCTTTAAATAATTTTTGGGCCAGGTGTGGTAGCTCACACCTGTAATCCTAGCACTTTGGGAGGCTGAGGCAGGAGGATCGCTTGAGCCCAGGAGTTTGAGACCAGCCTGGGTAACATCGTGAGACCCCACCTCTACAAAAAATTTAAAAAATTAGCCGGGTGTGGTGGTGCATGCCTGTAGTCCCAGCTACTCAGGAGGCTGAGGCAGGAGGATCACTTGAGCCCAGGAGTTTAAGGTTGCAGTGAACTATAATGACATCACTGCACTCTAGTCCTCCCAACAGAGCAAGACCCTGTCTCAAAAAATAAATAAATAACTTTCTGTGTGTGAACTATATACAAAATACACTAATGAGAGCAAGGATGCTAATTTATATACCTGTGCCATATGGTTACAGCACATATAACCTACACATGAATCTCTAAAGAAAGCTTCATCCTTTTAGGAGCATGATCTTTTATCCCTCTGGCTCTACTCATCCAAATACAAATATATTCATTCAAAAAAGAGAAGGCAGGAAGGAGGAGGAAAATAAAAACAGCAGGATGGGAGTTCTAGGACAGAGAAAAATCCAATATAACTATTTTTCTCTCTGAAAAAGAGCTCAAAGCATCATCCTTCTAGTGAGCATATATATTAATCCTGCAGTTCCCAATCCTCAGGCTGCAGACTGGTACTGGTCTAGGGCTTGTTAAAAACCAGGCTGCACAGCATGAGGTGAGTGGTGGGAAAAACCAGCGAAGCTTCATCTGTATTTACAGCCGCTCCCCATCGCTCGCATCACCGCATAAGCTCCGCTTCCCATCAGATTAGTGGGGCATTAGATTCTCATAGGAGCACGGACCCTGCTGTAAACTGCGCATGCGAGGGATCCAGGTTGTGAGCTCCTTATGAGAATCTATGTCTGATGATCTGAGATGGAGCTGAGGCGGTGATGCTAGCACTGGGGAGCGGCTGCAAATACAGATTATCATCAGCAGAGAGGTTTGACTGCATAATAAATGTGATGCACTCGAATCATCCCTAAACCACTCCCCCCAGCTCCCCTCACCCGATGCAAAAAATTGTCTTCCATGAAACTGGTCCCTGGTGCCAAAAAGGTTGGGGACTGCTGTATTAATACATATATAAGTAAGGGCAAATTCTATGTATATAGTCACCTTAAGTATAGATGTTATATCAGAATATCTTAAACTTCTGGCTTTTAAAAAACATATAAGTTATCTGATTCGACCATGCAACATACATTTTAGTTGGGTACCTAGCATCATGCCAAGAACTATTCTTGATCACAAGGATTCAAAGGTAAATTAAACTGCTCAAGGGCACAGGAAGTAACCAGGAACTGCACAGCTGTGCCGGCCCACACCCCTAGGCCCACGACAGCATGTACAACGTGCTGTGTGCAGTGCAGTTGGGAGATCTGTGTTTACTCACTAAACCCTTGGTGTGCACTCGCTATGTTCCAGGTGCTGCACTGAGCTTCATACAAATATTAATTCATTTACTCTCGTGATGATTAATTTTGTGTGTCAACATGGCTAAAGGCCACAGTCCCCAAATATTTGCTGGGGAGGTATTTTTTAGGTGAGATGAACATTTCAATCAGTAGGCTTTGAGTATAGCAGATCACCCTCTGTGGCACCTCTAGGAACCTTTGATACAAAAAGTATCTCCCAATCATCTTTATGCATGGTCTAACGGTTTTAAACCCTGAATTGGGTTACTCGAAAACTGATATTTTCAAAGCTTGACTTTCAGGGGCTGGGGCAGCAGAGTGGAGTCGGAACCCCCTTGCTATCAAAATCCTCCGCACGAACATGTGCTTCCACGCTACTGCCCTGAGTGGAAACTGATGAAACTGTCTCGAAGGAAACTTAGAAATGCCTTTTAAAAGTTTTATACTTCTGTATATTTTGTAACCCAACAATTCCACATCTTCTAAAATTTCCTCCCCAGGAAATAATCACGGCTGTGCATGAAGATTTAGCTACAAAGGTTATTTCTTACAGCATTGGTTAAAACAGTAACATTTTCTTTTCCAATTGTAGCAGATGGGTGAACTGAATTATCATCTATCCATAGAATGGGATACTATATACTCATTAAAATTGCTCCTGCAGAATAATAATGCTACGGAGAGATGTTTATGGTATACTGATGATTTTTAAAAGCATGTTATAGAACAGTACCTAGCATATCATCCCATTTTTGCCAAACACGCTTTGTGGAAGGCAACCTCTAAGATGGCCCCAAATGACCCCCCACTTCTTGGGGCTGGTCTGTACCAGCGTTGGCCTGTGTGGTTAACAGCACGTGGAAAGAAATGATGGCATGCCACTTCTGAGATTATAAAAGATGATGACTTCCATTCTGGGCACTTGTGCTTTTGAATTTTTATCTTGTTTTTCATTTTGTCTTGAATCACGCACTCAGGGGAAAGCAAGCTGCTCTGTTGTTAGAAGCGCTACAGAGAGGCCCACCTGAACTCTCTGGCCAAGAGCAGTCGAGGAACCAACGCCTGCCCCAAACCACGTAACGCGTGTGGAAGAGAGCTTTCTAGCCCCCTGGCTGAACCTGGCTTGTGATGACCTGGGCCTTGGCTGACAGCCTGATGGCCACCTTGCAAGAGACCATGAGCCCCACCCACCCAGCTCAGTTGCACCTGGATGTCTAACCTCCAGAGACCGCGCGACAGTAGATTGCATTGTTGTTTTAAGCTGCTAAGTTTGAGGGTAATTCGTTACGCAGCAGTTGATAACGAATACATACATGCATAGTGAAATGGCTACAAGGACAGAGTTCGAAATATACTAGCGGTTTTCTCTAGGTGGTGGGATTTATGGGTAATTTTTATTTTCTTCATTTTATACAGTATTGGCAAATATTTCTCCTTTTTTAGAAAACAGAAAAAGAAAACCGCATGACCAAGAGCGATCATATGAGCTTCTGAAGAATAAAAGGATAAAAATTAGGAGAGCCACTTTTAGCTCTAATAGCCCTTAAAGATTCAAGTATATTAGCTTAAATGTACAAAACAGAAGCAAAAAAAAGAAATGAACTCCCAAGAGAGGGCCTGAATGCATAGTGGAGGTAGCTCTGCCCACTAGTAACCACGCAATGTGCGGTGAGCAGCAGCCTTCACTAACTTCAAGGAAAGCAGACACGCACGGGCTTCTTAGAAGGAAATCGAACAGTAACGAACTCATCGGATAGCCAGTCGCCTGCACGGAACTTGTGCTTACCCAGCTTCTGGTCAAACCGCCACGCCGCGACGTACGCATTGTGCCTCAGGCTGCTCTGTGTGGCCAGGGGCACAGTGACATAGATGGGACCATCCACCAGCACCGGCGTTCCGTTACCGCTGAGCAGGTGGACGCTGACAGCTGTGACCGGGGTCAGGTCGTGCCTGCTGCCGTTTCCTAGAAGGAAGAGGCATTCTCTGTCATATGCACAAAGTACCCACGTGGGGCTACAGTCAACAAATTGTCGCAGCTACCGATTACTGAGCACAGCACCTCCTACATGCCAGAAACTGTGTATCTAAGCACTTTAGATATATAATCTTCACCATAACGCAGTAAGGCAGGTAAAACCCCCATTTTTACATGTAAAACAGGCTCAGAGACAGTAGTAATGGTAGCTGGCCTAAGGGCATATGCTAGTTAGTGGTCAAGCTCAAGTTCGCCAATTCTAATTACATTACTGTGCTTTGCTTTGAAAAGGGACCTCAAAAGGGAAGGACTTTTCTATAACGGGAGATGGACGTGTATGTGAAAATCACTGAAAATAACTTCCATACAAAGTGAGCCCAGTGCACGCGTTAATTACTTGGCAGATTACCACACGAAACCAAATGTTCTAGAGTAGAGATTGCTTTTTTTTTTCCTAAATAGTAAATTTCTTCAAGGATTGCATCAAAATATTAACTTCATCCTGCTCAAAAGTATCCTATTGAAACTTGGATTTGAAATATTTATGAGTTATTTTAGTTGCCATTGTTATTTTGGTCTGTTTAGAAGGAATTTAATATACCAATTATTCTCCATTAGAGGCCTTTTGTCCAAGCCAAAGCTTTAATGATTGTCTACGGATAAATTAGACAATGCTTATGAGAGCGATATTTATGCACTTAAGCAATCCATTTCGGATCTTTCTCCAGTGAAATGCTGTATCACACAAAAGGTATTCTGCCATAATTTTATATCTTTTGTTGAACAGAATGACAAAAACAGTGATAAAAAAAATGTAAGCTGTATTATAACACAATCTATAGGATTTCCTATTCAGCTACTTACCTACCAACCTACCTGAGCTAATGCAAATCTCCAGTTTGGACTAGATTTAAACATTTAAAGCAAACCTAGTGAATTTTAGAGTCTCAACAATGAGTTATAGTTAAATCTTCATAGAGCCATTTCTACACAGCTAAGATTAGCATTACCTTTAAACACACACATCCATCTCTGTTTTTCAATGAAGGGAAAGGCACAGGAATGGACATTTCATTGAAAGGTCTAAGCTGTAATTACAGGTTCAAGTTCTGAAATCTTTCAGTTTGGCCACTTCATTTTAGGGTAAAGAAAACCCACACCCAGTATTTACCATATTTCTGGTCAAAATATCTTATGGATTGAGACATAAACAGGCTGGGCGCAGTGGCTTATGCCTGTAATCCCAGCACTCTGGGAGGCCGAGGAAGGAGGGTCACTTGAGCTCAGGAAAAAGTAGCCGGGTATGGCTAATTCGTAACTAAATAGCAAAAATTAGCTGGATATGGTGGCGTGTGCCTGTAGTCTCAGCTACTTGGGAGGCTGGGGCAGGAGGATCTCTTGAGCCCAGGAGTTTGAGGATTCTGTGAGCTAGGCTGATGCCACGGCACTCTAGCCTGGGCAACAGAGTGAGGTTCTGTCTCAAAAAAAAAAAGAGAGAGAGAGAAAGAGAGACATAAATATGCCAATTGCTTAAAGGAGATGCAACAGCAAAGCCGGAGTACAAGGTGTCATTCTGGCTTCTGTTAGAACCTCTCTACAAGATAGAACTTAAAGCTACAGAGACATTAAGTAACTTATTAGACTTTGCATAAACAACTTAGAGATGATGCTTTCCATTAGGGAGGGCTGTTTTCTCGCATCCTAGGCAGGATGCCTGAATAGGGCGGCAGCAGGTGGTTAGAGTAGAAAAGCCCTAGAAACGGAACCTTCCTTCCCGTAATCCTGTACATTCCTGGCCCAGGAAGATGAGCTTCCAGTACCAGATCTGCCACTAACTGTCTACGTAGCCTCTGGCAAGTGACTCCACTCCTCTGTGGTCTGTATTTCTTATCCTTGAAACTAAGGAAGGTGAGACTATGGAAATAAATATGCTCAGCTGGAAACATGCAGAAGTAAGTACAGCACGGTAGAATCGAGCATATTAATGGGAAGCGATATGCGTTTTTGGTTCATTATTGGTTCATGTAATGTCATGTTCCTTTAAAAGTTCTCTAGCTGTCGTAAGACACTGCGGACAATTACATCTGCTTTCTCGAAGCCTCTCTCCTTCCTCGGGGCTCCATTAAACACCTGCTTCTCCTCCGTGCCTTCCCAACGGCTCTCCCTTTACCTTCCTGCATTCTTTATCCTGCAACGATTCATACTTTGAAGGGCTACATTATTTTCCTTCCATTCTTTGTTACGAGACTTCAATTCTTCACAAAATACCAAGTTCTATATCTAACAAGGCTTTCCTTTCTGTTCCATCTGGATGTTACTTGGCTCCCGTTACATCCGAATCAAGAAAGGTATCAGGTAAGAGCAGCGGGACGAGGGGGAAACACTGTGGACCACAGGAGGGGACAAGCTCTACCGTCTTGTCCCTCCCATTTGGTCACTTGCATCACAGGAGGTCCTGCTCAGCTAACATCCAGGGTTCTGTTTGGCTTTGCATTCTAGTACCAACTTTTTGGGATTGCAAGAAAAGTCTGCACCTTAGTCATTTTGTTGACGCCTCTGTGTCTTCCTGGAGTTATTAGTGTAAGTTATGTTTTCAAAACCCCTCGGGAAAGCCCCAGAACAGTTGTGCTTTCCTAGCAACATGGGAACAGTGTGATGCTCTCTGGCCTGCACGTGAGGAGGGCGCCCCTCTGCAATGCCAGGAAGCTACGGAGCAGACCGGCGGAGAAGAGAAGGGGGGAAGTGGCTGCAATCTCCACGTGGCTTTTCTCTACTTACAACTCTGGAACGTCCCTCTAAACTGGACACCCACAGCCTTTACGACACTATAACGAAAACCTCCTATGGAGACCCTTCTATCCCCTTTGCAGCCCTCTCTGTTCCTGCCACCCTCGGTGAACTCCAGCCACGACCTGTCATCTCACAAAGACACGTCCGGGCCAGGTTCTCCCTCTGGGCTGAAATCTCTTAGATGCCTTTTATAAAACAGGAGGTAAGTAACTGCGCAAAAGACAAACTGACGCTGGAGATGGATGCGAGCCGGTGAGCCCGTGGGGTGTCTGCACTCGAGGGAGCCCACGCCCCAGACCCCAAGGTACGTGTGGAGTACTGTGGGCTGGGCGCCTTCCCTGCTCAGTCTCCGAGATGCTCTGATCCTTTCTAGGTCAATCTGCCAGTGGAAAAGAAGTTTAATGTCACCTTCCAAAGACCTTCTCTCTTCTCTCCAAAATAACGGAACGATTTTCAAATAAAACAAACCCCTCTAAAATCAATAGTCCCGTGTCTTTGTGTCCTTCTTGCTCCAGTCTTCTCAGGTCGCATGACTTATTCAAGAGCTACTAGAAGTGGGGCACAGAAAAAATTAATGAGCTCCGAGGACGGAGGCTTTCCTTCCAACTTAGGGTTTTATGGGTCTGGCTGCATTTTGTCTGGGAGACTGGACGGAGGTTATAGGATTTTGAACGGGATTTCTTCACGCTCCCTGGAAGGACGCTTTTTTCCAGGCCTGCATAGTTCAGGTAAAAGTCAATATTTTTTCCCAGTAACGTTTACTTAAGATGACGACTATGCATCAGTCTGTTGACAAATCACTGACACATTAATCACACCATGCGCGCACAAAAATAGGAAGAAGAAACATTTCAGAAAATGGTACCATGGAAGGGAGAAAAGGGAGTCGAAAATCACCAGGTCACCTTCATGTGTAAACAGAAACTTGCTAACATGCTACAAAAGGGATCAGAGATTTCAGGTTTAAAACCTGTTTCAGAATAACCGGTTTATGTACAGTATTGGAAAATTAACTGAAATTCAATAAAAGTGTCCCTAGGAAATGCAGTAACTTACGTAGCAGGATTGAACCCAGAACAGCCTCCGATTTTGGAATTTATGCTGTGACTAAAGTGCGGGAGAAAGGAGTGGGGAGACAAAAAAATAATTCAGGACTCCAGAATCCTGGCACCTTTTTCACAAGGACGACGGGGGTCACCCTAGTGCGGAGGGCTCCGGAGAATGGTGCTGTCGCACGGGAATGGGGGTGAAGGCTCACGTCTCCAGCCTTTCTCTGATAAGGAATTGTTACGTATTTTCTGGCTGTTACGTATTTTTGGGTTCTCTGATCTTCTAGCTGCATGTGTCATGTCAGAACAGTGAGAATGACGGAGATGATTTAGAGATCTGCCAGAAGAAGATTCCAGAGCAACTTCAAAGCCTGGCTGCTTTGAGAGCAGGGAGAGCAGGTGCAGAGAAAGAAACCACGTGAGCAAAGCTGGAGGGCCGTGGGCGGCAGAAAGCAGCGCTCCCCATCCTGAGTGCTCCCTGTGCCCGTGGGGTGGAGGTGGAGGGCCACCACGTCCCTCCCGGCTACAGCTACAGCGCATGGATGGGTGGGGTCATGTGTCTCAGCCGGGGCAGCAGGGCCAGCCACTCCCCCAACCGCCCATTCCACGTGGGACAAGGCAAAGGACCGCAGAGGGCAAAAACCCACAACTCTGATCTTATGCTTTGTAAAAAAAAAAAAAAATATGTTACAATTTCGACTATAAGAACTTCTCTGAGTTGAGTATGTTTAGTTCTCCACAGGACAGCCCAGAGAGAGTGCTCGGGGAAACTGGTAAAATCGGAAAGGTTCAAGGAGATCAATGCACTGAAATGCAGTTCTGCCTGGGTGCAGACCCGATTCCCTAAATGCACTGGCGAACGGCAGCGCACCTGAGCTTGCAGAAAAAGTTCTCCTTTTGCAACTTTGTGCCATTCTCCCATGCAATGCGAACACTCTCAGTCATATCCGAAATCCACGCACAGAGATTAAAACACAGAAGCCCCACCTGAAAAGAGAAGAGACTCAAATTACCTGTTCCATTCCCGTCTAATCCTCGCAAATAAGGAAAACTGTCCACCTCCGAGGGGGAGCTGGCGGCCGTGAGAAACGCGGTCAGGTCGCTGTAGCTGGTGTTCTCCGGCAACCGCAGGGCCCTTCTCTGGAAATGAACTCGGGGCTGAGGCCGGGCACCTGCAGGGATGAACCTCTGAGTTACCTCCCCAAGGAGCAGTTTCTGTTTTTAGAAAATGCAAAACCAGGAAGTGCGGCTCTCAGGTTTCAGCACGCCTCCCCACCCCAGCCCTTCCCACAGAGCTCCCCATCCCCCTCCACGCAGGACACAGCGATGTGACAACATGCTATTATGGCAGAGGAATAATAGCCCATTGTCACATTTGTTTTGACACAGGATGTTATTTAGGTTTTTAACAAAAAGCTTTTTCCATGTTCTAATTGTTGAGCAGCCTTTTCGCTGCTGCCTATGGATTGGGGTGACGTTTTGGGAAAGTCCGAGTAACCGAACCGAGTAGGTGACAATTAGTCTCTTTACACAAACAGTGTGAGAGATACTCTGTGATACTGCTACAAACCCATCCTTAATCTCCCCGGGGAAATCAGGCTCCATGCCGCAGACCAAACGGGGGAAGCAGAGCAAGGGGATTAAACGTGTAGATTTGAAAAGAACCGTAAACAAGAACCCACCAGCCACGAACACTTTTCTTTCTGCAGAAGCTGCCATGGGGCAACGAGTCTATTCCAGAAGGGTGCTTCCTACTTGTGACAGATTATGTCGCAGAGTTTATGACAAGACTTTTGAAATGATGCGGAATGACGCTCCTCCACCAAACTCAACTCTTTGGTGCACAAGGGTGGGTTTAGGCAAGAGGCTCTCCCGCCCCCGGCAGTGTCTGCGCTGTCTGTCATCTGCGGTTTAACTTTGCCCCAGATGTTGTTCTGATGGTCAAACCTGAACTTGTTCTTACCTAATGCTACAGGGACAGTCACAGGACGCAAAGGTGCTAAGTCATGTTGCACAAACCCAGCAAGAACATCAACACAGAAATCGCAGATCCCATCTCAGGCTCGAGACAGTCCACGTTCTGCTTGTATGTGGCCGAACGCGTCTTCTCCCCAGCCCACAGCCGTCCTGGTGTGACAGTCCTGCCACCCAGAGCCAGTGGCCTTTATACCCACTCTCGGGTTCCTTTTAACCCCGGATCAGAGAACTTGTAAGGGGAGAATAAGCCTGTCCAGACATGTTCTAGAATAAGGGGAGTTTCAGAGCTCAAAGAATCTAGTCGTCCAGGTCTCTCTTGCTACAGCCATGGAAGCCCAAAGGACGTACACAGACTTATGTCTGGGGGAGGCCGTCCTGGCTAGGGATTGCCGTCTACCTGCTAAAAATCACCGGCGAATCTTGTCCAGGGGCTGGTTCTCTACTCTGTGAAACACGAGCCCGGGTTTGGAGCCCGTGAGAGGAGATGCCCAAAGTCATGATGGTCCCAGCTAACTCTGGTCACCTCCGCTAAAACTAACTGGACGCAAGGGTCAGTCTGATTCCAGACCATCGGTGACCTTTCTTTACCCCTAACTCAACCCCGCAGTGACGCACTAGCCTCTGGGCATCTGTATCTTTTTCATTCTTCTTTGTCTATCCTTTTCCTTCAGTTTGATGGAATACTGATGTCTTGCTCCTGTGGCCTCCTCATCTGCAGAGAGCTCACACTCCTGAGCTCCCCACGAGCGCCCTGTGCCCCTGTCAAGAGCCCCCTGTTTCTGGTCCCTCTCCCCGATGTGGCCACACACACCACTTGCTCTTTGGTCTCCTGACCTCTGAGATTGAAAGTCAAAGTCAAGCCTGTCTTTTTTCATCCTCACCCTCGATGACATATCAACACTCATTGCTCCTATTGTTATTTTTCTCAATGATCGGGAAACGCACGTTCTCTGCCTGGTGTTATTCAGTTAACACTCCCTGTGTAGGGGCCTGGGTTTCACACAGTGGAAAAGCAAAGAACTCCATGAACACCAAGATAAGAAGGGCATGTCTGCATGTGACAGGGCGAAGCGGGAGCTTGTCTTCAGCAGGGACGAGGCAGAAGGCAGAATCGGGGCTGGTCACCCCGGAATGGGGGGATCCATGCCTTTCAGGCCCCAGGAAGAGCCCCTGCGAGACGGGAAGGCTGCGATGGTGTGGAGGCTGCCCTGGCAGGGAGGGACACAGGCCTCCCCCAGCTGCACTGAGGAGGCGGGGGCTGCTGACGGACGAGGGGCGGCTTGCGCTGAACCCAGGACCCGCAGCCCAGCCAGGTCTTGCAGGGGACTGACCTGGGACCCGGGGAATCACAAGCCGAGGAGGCTGCTCTTCCCGTTCGCGGGGCCCCCATGTCTCATCCTGACCCTTCCCCATTTCCCTCCCCCCGCCCCGTTCCCCAGCAGAGCAGGTGTTGCATGCATTTCTCTCTGACTTAACCATCCTCCTTTCTCCCCAGCACCCAGTTCTGATTCCGAGTCACCACCATCATCTTCCCTGTTATCGTGCACATTCGCTCAAGTGCCAAGACGGGCCAATCTTCCCTTACCCACATTTCTCGCAGCATCTCTGCCTCCCTCTCAGCGTCCAGCAGCCTACGTTACCTTACATAACCCCTTGTCTCGACTATCACGAAAGTCTCCTAAATGGCCTCCTCTGCTTCAGTCTCTCCCCTTCCTGCTTCCCATCCAACGACACGTTGACTCTTCTAAGATACCACGGTGACCATGCCCTTCCCCTGCCTGGAAACCATCAGTGGATCTCTCCCGCTTACCAAATTAACAATGATGACAGGAACAACAACAAAAATGCGTAGACCACTATAGACCCAGACTACTACGATTACATCTCTCCTCTAAGGGAGACGTGTGGATCAGCACTTTACAATTTACAAAGTTCTTATATACGTTATTTAACATATATGACCACCCTGTGAAGACGGAACTGTCTTAACTCCAACTAGATCAGGGTTCCTCAGTCTCAGCACGCTTTACGTTTGGGGCCAGGAGAATCTCTGCTGGGGTGGGGGCTGCCCTGTGCCTTGCAGCATGCTCCATTGCGTCCCTGTCCTCTACCCACTAGATGTCAGTATCAGCCCCCAAGTTGTGACAACCAGACCCTCTCCAGACACAGCTAAATGTCCCTGGGGGACAAAATCACCTGTCCAATCGAGAACCACTGCACTGTACATTCTGAGCAACCTCACAATAATCCAAATAACACGCGCCGAGCATCCTCTCTATAATGGGTACTGGATAGGTGAAGGGAAGAGGAAAAAGCCGTTGTTTTCCTGGAACTCAAGAATAGAGAAGACATTTCTCTCTGCCTCTTTCTGTCTCTGTCTCTCTCTTCCTCCCCCCTCCCCCCGAATCTTTCTCTGTCTCTCTCTTGACCTATCAGATGAACAAATAAGTTTAAAAAGATGCCAATACTCAGTTTTTGCAGGGCAGGATGAAGACGTCCAAGTCAATTTCAGAAGGTGAGGTTTAAAGAAAACTGAGGTTGCCGTGTGAGAAGGGAGGAAACTGAAGCCTGAGGGTTGCAGAGGTTTTCTCTTTTTTGCCCCAGGGCTCCCTTCCAAGATGCCATTTAGGCCTCTTAAATGATCAATGCAGCCTTCAGCCGTTAATCTTGGGGATAACTGGTCCTTTCTCCTTCTCTCTGAATCAGAGTCAAAGGAATCTCTTGTAGGGCTCTTATCACCTCTTGATGAGTATATCACATCATCCCCTTTTTCTTAAATGTTTAACTCCCTAAAACATCAATAAAAAGCATTGCTGTGGGGAAAAAAATGTGGAGAAGGCAGCCACGGAAATGGCTTAATTATCACAGTGGGCTTTTTTTTTCTTTTTTGAGACACGGTCTTGCTCTGTTGCCCTGGCCAGAGTGCAGTGATGTATGTCATTCTTGGCTCACTGCAACCTCTAACTCCTGGGCTCAAGCGATCCTCCTGACTCAGCCTCCAAAGTAGCTGGGACTAGAGCCGTGAGCCATCACATCCGGCCCATCATAGTGTTTTAAGTGCCAGAATAAGAGAGAAATGATATAAGAACAAGATAAACTTCAAGAGAGTGACCCACTGCCCAGGAGAAAAGCAGTTCCCTCGGTGGTATCGTGAGGGGCAGGTGAGAGGTGACAGCAAGCAGACATGAAGGCGCAGAGAGGTGGGAAGGTCAAGTGTGCATGGGGAGCTGAGCAAGTCCGTGTGAGCCACGCGTGGGCTGTGTGGGGTCCGGGGGCCGGGAATGAGGCTGGGGAAGGGCATGGGGAGGCTGGCTCAAGAGTCTGGCCTTGCGTGGGCCTGCGGGAGAGAGTTGGTAGCAGTTATTGGTTTGTTTTTGCTCAATTCTGACAGCATGTGGGGAATGGCGGTGGGTGGAGAGTCTAGTGTTGGTGTGATTGGCCAGGAGGCTGCTAAGAAATGGTTCAAGCGAGAAAAGATAAAGTTCCAGATAAAGGCAGCGGCACTGAGGTCGTCACAGAAGAGGCGGCTGGAGCCAAAAGCTATTTTTGGGATAAGAGAGAGAGGACGGAGGGGGAAAGAGACTCAAGAGGGTGGGATTGGGTAGAAATGTAAACCTGGGGGTCCGGGGTCTGGGGTCCAGGAAGGACAAGGAGCTCTGAGAAGGCGCCAGGGATCTGGGAACTCTGGCTCTGTTGAACCATTATCCTAAGACGGTTCAGGCTTTCTTTATACAACTGTTGACAATAACAATACAATCACTTTCCTCACTTTCAAATGCAAGGAATGCTGACTGCTAAGGCCAATCCCACCGAAACATGCATTTATTGTGCAATAATCAGTACGTTTGCAAACATGCTGCAGAACCCTGCCTGGTCAGATGAGAGAACCGTTTTATTGGCGTTTATAGTCAGAATTTACACAGATACCCCATGGTCTATCTGCACAGCAGAACACAAGCGGGCAGTCTTCATATTTTTAACAAAAACTCAAAGTCACCCCAAGTTTACCCTCTATTTTATTTGGCTGGAAACATTTTAAAGCAAAAACTTCGATAGAAGCATGAAGCGTCCCACTGATGAGGACAATGGCCCCCCTTCCCTCCTCTCTCACCCTGTCCCCACCTCGCACCCAATGGCCTTCATTCTCTAAAGCGTTTACTTTAGCATCATATAAAACCAAACAAGGAGGCATCAT